ATTCAACATTTTATATTGACACATGTGACTCGAATGCAACTCAATGCAATATGAAAGTGGTACCAATTGTTATCCTTAACAGTTTTAGCATTTAAACTGTGTCCATCCCTCAGACATATAGCTACCAAAAAGCCCATCCCTCAAGCTTTCAAACCCATACCTCAGGTTTGGGACAAGTCACTAGTCTTCACGAAACTAGCAAATATTGCCTCTTGACAACAAATGATGCATGTGCAATCTCAACAATCATGTGCAATTAAGACCATCCCTCAATCCTAATCATACAAGCATACATCACCTAATTCATCACCTTTGAACCATCATCACCATTGCACAAACATGCATACCTCATGTTATCAATCACATACAATGCATTATAATAACATTAATCAACTAAACACACCATAATAACACATAACAACAATTGCCAAAACATGTTATCCTCATTCATCATCAATTCACAACATGCATATACATAAAATTCAAGTATCATGTTCGTAGAATTCTCATAGAATTAATCAACTCAACACACCATAATAACATATAACAAGCAATGACAAAACATGTTATCCTCATTCATCGTCAATTCATAACATGCATATACATAAAATTCAAGTATTGTGTTCATACTAAGAAGTCATCCAAAACTTATCAATGCATACCTTCATTAATTCATCACACGTGAAATACCTCACATTTACAAATACATACACATACTCTTGGATTATTCACATACAATTCACTTTCATAATATTCATCAATTCAATACCTCCCAATAGCACATAGCAAGTAATATCACAATGTATTACAAAATCCAACACCAATATCCAATACACATAACATATATACATGTCATTTTACACAACCAAATAATAATTAAATCATCTACTTCCAATAAAACTATTTTTATTGAAAATAATATCGCGCTAGCTTTCTAACGCTTCGAACAAGGACTCAAACGGAGTTACAGTTTAAAAGTTATGACAAAAAATTTTGAAATGCAAATACCAGGGAGCTAACACGTCCACCCGTGTTAGCTAACATGGACCGTGTCAGAGCCCAAAAAACCACATTTTCACACGATTTTGTGTGATTTTTCTTGTTTTTCAATCTTTCAACAAACCCCAAACCCCAAGTTTTGACCTCTAACAATCCCAAAACATATCATATCATAAGACACATGAATCAAGGAAGAAAAACACATTACAACACCATTACCCATCATATTCAAGGATTCATTATCAAAACCTAACAATTTCAAAACTATAAAATTTAGAGATTTCATCCTAAACATGTTTCTACCCATTACATACATCACATACTCCTATAATCAAGTAAAAATCCACCCTTATATTGGATGTAGATCTATTTTTAGGGTTATCCCTTTTCTCTTTTCTCCCTTTTCTCCTCTTTTCCTTGTCTCTTGGTTTTCTTCACTTTTTCTTTCTAACTTCTATTCGCTTTATCTTACTAACTCTAATAACTATTATTTTTCTCTAATGGGCTTATCTCACCCACTCACACTAATGTGACATATAAGGCTCTATCAATTAATAATTTTATTCTCACACCTACTAACCCAATTGCTCATATAACACCTATTCCTAATTTATAAAATAAATCATATATCACACATCACACCAATCAATCCAAATAACTCATGTATTCACAAAATCACATAATTTAGTTAATTACTATATTATATGATAATTAATAAAATAAATAACTAATAAAAAAACTAATAAATAAATTTGGGGTGTTACACCCTCCACCGACACGACTCCCTAACTTTTGGCTGCCGCCATCGCAACGTGGCCCCTAAAAACCCAGCGGCTCCACCGCCCGCCTTCGCTGGCCTGACACTGTTTTGGCGGCTCCATGGTTGTCTGAATTAAAGTTCAGAGAGCAGGAATAGTAGGGTATATACTTTAAAATATTTCCTTTCAAGAAATTAATAGAGGAGGAATGTTTGGGATTGGAGGTGGCATTTTTAAGAGAAGAAATGTGGAAAGCAGTATGGGAATCAGAAGGAGAGAAAAGTCCAGTTCCAAATGGACTTAATTTTAAATTCTTACAGGAATGTTAAGCTTTCTTGGAGGAGGATCTGGTGAAGTTTGTGAATGAATTTCACTTGAATGTAGTACTTCCCAAGGCCATCACAACATCATTCATAGACCCATATGCCTTGTTGGGTGTTTATACAAGGTGTTGGCCAAAATTTTGGCAAACAGGATAAAGAAAATTTTGGGGAGTATTATATCAACTTGTCAATTTGCTTTTGTTCCAAGAAGACAAATTCTGGATGAGGTAGTTGTCATTAATGAGATCATAGATTTGTCCATAAGAGATAGAAGAGAGTGTTTAATTTTGAAAGTGGATTTTGAACAAGCCTATGATTGTGTAAAGTGGAGCTATCTTAGAAAGATGTTAGTAACTTTTGGCTTTGGTTCAAAATGGTATAGTTGGATGAAGGCTCGTGCATTCAAGAGTAGCATGTCAATATTGGTGAATGGTAGCCCTACAAGAGATTTCAATGTGGCAAGAGGACTCAGACAAGGTGGCCCTTTGTTACCTTTCCTATTTAGCCTTGTGACTGAAGGGTTATCAGAGCCAGTGAGTAAAGAAGGGGGAATGGGAAAGTTTGAGGGGTTCAGAATAACAAAAAACTTGGAGATCAGAGTTTTAGATTTTACAAATGACACAATAATGGTAGGTACATGAAACAGGAACAATTATGGAGTATTAAGTCAATCTTGAGAGGATTTGGAATGGTTTTAGGACTGAGAGTGAATTTCTTCAAAATCAAGCTTTATGGGATCAACATTCAGGAGAACTTCATGGTGGCAGCCTCTCAGTTCTTATCCTGTTGTGCAAATACATTACCATTTAAATTCATGGGAATCAAGGTGGGTATTAATCCTGTGATGTGTAGTTCTTGGAAGAGTGTGGTGGAAGGCTTAAAGAGGAATTTGCTAGGCTGAAAAAATAGGATTTTATCAATAAGAGGGAGGGTAACCTTGCTGAACTCTACTCTGAACAACATTCTAACATATGTTATGTCCTTCTACAAAGCGCCAAAAAATATAATACATCGAATAATTCAAATTCAAAGTAAATTCCTATGGAAGGGTAATAAAGACAGTAGAGAGATAAGTTGCGTGAGCTGGGAGAATGTATGGAAATCAAAGGAGGATTATGGTTTATAAGTTAAACACATAAATACTTTTAACTTGACATTACTGTGCGAAAGGAAATGGAGGGTGATAAATGAGGAGAAGAGTGTTTGGAAGGAGATATTACAAGCAAGATATAGTGATTTAATGTTGTAGAATTTTTATGATATAAAGGCTAGCAAAAACAAAAGGGCATCATTATGGTTGAGGGATATCTTGACTGTTGGAAAAATTAAGCTAGCAGACAAAACCAATTTTAACACTTCCACAACAAAGTTCAATTTAAATTGGGCTCAGGGGGGAATATTTAGTTCTGGTTAGGAAAATGGATAGGTGATAAACCTTTGAAGATTGAATTTCCTGATCTGTTTGCTAAGACTGAGAGTAAACATAGCGAAATATCTGAAATATGGAAGAATGAACCAGGAAGGTGGAATTGAGATTTATGTTTAAGTAAAGAGGTGGTTTTTAGATTGGATGGAAATGAGGCAAGACAATTAAAGGTGCTAGAAGACATATTGGAAAAAGTGAGGATTCTGCAGGATCAAGAAGATAAGGCGAGATGGTGCCCAGAACAAGAAGGATATTTTTCTATCAAGATCTGTTACAAGAATATTAGAAAGAAAAAGGAGGGATCAAACTCGGTGATTCTGGAGCAGACTACAACTTTAAAATCCATCTGGAAAACAAGTTCTCTCTCGAAGATAAAGATTTTTGGATGGAGGGCTATTATCGGTAGACTGTCTTCACGTGTTTAGTTGCTAAGAGAAACATTATTCATGGCAGCCAAAGCAAAAGATGTGTGTTCTGTTGGAATGAAGATGAAACCCTTCTTCTTCATTTATGTTTCAATTGTAGCATAAGTAGAGATGTATGAAGGAAAATTCATGTATGGCTGATAGTTTCATTAATTGAAACAGATTCTATACGTCAATATTTTGGTGTATTTAATATGCAATTAAAAGGAAGAATGAAGAAGAAAATCAGATGTGCAGTGTGGTTGACAGTTCTATGGTGCATATGAAAAACACGAAATGATGTAATATTTAATGACCTGATACTCAAAGTAGAAGATATTATTAACAATATCAAATTGTTGTCACGGTATTGACAAAATTTGGATTCAAAACACACAAAATATGTTTCTTTCTATGACTAATTTTAATATCCAACTTGATTGTTTGACATGCCTAAATTGTAACATTATGTTTTGTAACTTTGCTTTAAGGGTTGAGTAACCCATTTTAACCCCACTTCAATATAATTTGGTTATTTAAAAAAATCCTTGATGTTAAAATGTTAAACATGTATCTTGATTTGAATATATAACTTAGAAGAAACACAATTTGCAAATCTCGTGAGACATAGTTACACACATTTGCAAATGTAGTGATGATCCCTACTTTAGTGCGACACACATTTGAAGTGGCTACCTTAATACAAGTACTAATACTATGTACCCATTCGCACCCGCCCATCCCTACATTTGTCGTGGACCGTAACGTTCTACCTCCCCACCCTAGGCGGCAAACAGCTGTTTTTCAATTAAAATCACAACACCATCATTAAAAACCATAGTAAAAAAAAAAAACAAAAATGTCGAGAATAGTAAAGTTAGAAAGAAAAGGACAAGCGTGAAATGGTTCCGAGATAAAACCCTTTGTTTCATTACTCCATTCGTCTATCTCGTTTCCTCAAAGCCTATAGTGTCATAGAAAAACAAACAAGCAAACAAACAAACAAAGAAACTCAACGCACGCAGTCTTCAAAATGCCTCTCTTTTCATCACAATGAAGAACCCTTCTCTCTTCATCTTCTCCACAGAAGATGTCTCTCCCACAATCACCTTCTTTCCTCGCCACCCTTCTCTGTGAAGAGCAAAACTTTGAAGATGATGATTCCGATGCAACCATTACCGATTCTGAAACCGTTTTCGATGACCCATCTGGGGCTAAGCTGCAAAAGCTGCAATCTTTACCTTTGTTTTGGGAAGACGATGAGCTTGTTTCGTTGATTTCTAAAGAGGGTCAGACCCATTTGTGTTGTGGTGATGTTATTGTTGATGGATCTTTGGATGAGATTCGCGTTGAAGCTGTGAACTGGGTTTCCAAAGTTTGTGCTCATTATGGGTTTTCTACTTTGACTACTGTTCTTGCTGTTAACTACTTTGATAGATTTATTACTAGTTTGAGGTTTCAGAAGGATAAACCTTGGATGACTCAGCTTACTGCTGTTGCTTGTTTGTCTCTTGCTGCTAAAATGGAGGAAACCCATGTGCCGCTTCTTTTAGATTTTCAAGTATGCTTTTTTTTTTTAATCTTTGAGATGAAGTTTAACTGTTTGATGAAATGCCGCTTAGTTTTGTTTTTATGGTCTTTGAGGTTCAGGGGTTTATTTTTGTGTTTTTTTTTGTTAATGTTTGTTGTTAGGTTGAGGAATCTAGATTTGTGTTTGAAGCTAAGACTATACAGAGAATGGAGCTTTTGGTGTTGTCTACTCTGAAATGGAGGATGCATCCGGTGACACCGATTTCCTTCTTTGAACATATTGTTAGAAGGCTTGGTTTGAAGAGCCGTTTGCACTGGGAGTTTATGTGGCGTTGTGAGAGGGTCCTTCTTCATGTTATTGCTGGTAAGTAATAATAATGCAGATTTAGTTAAAACTTTTTAGCTTTCATCATCAATTGCAATAAATTACTAGATACTAGTACTAGTTATCCATATTAAACTGAATCAGGGGTGTAGCATTAAGAGTGATTGTACTCATGATTATTCAATGTTGCAATTGTTGTCAGATTCAAAGGTTATGATGAGTTATCTTCCTTCTACATTGGCTGCTGCTACAATGATCCATGTAATTAAAGAGATTGAACCATTTAATGCAACTGAGTACATTAATCAGCTATTGGGTTTACTAAAGATTAGTGAGGTTTGTGCATTTAATTTAACTGTTTCTTCCCTCTACATTGCCAATCATTGTTCAAAATTTTTCAAATCTGCTGTTGGTTTGATGAATTGGTGAAAATTTTGGTGTTGATTTTATAGGAACAAGTGAACCAATGCTACAAGCTTATGCTGAAGCTATTAGTTTGCGATGATGGCATTTATAGTCTTCACCAGAAACGGAAGCGAGTATCTGAACCAAGTAGCCCGGGTGGTGTCATTGACGCATCTTTCAGTTGTGATAGCTCAAATGATTCATGGACCGCAGCATCGTCCGTTTCGCTTTCACAACAGCCTATGTTTAAGAGGAGCAGAGCTCAGGACCAGCAGATGCGACTTCCTTCTGTGAATCGCGTGTCTATTGATGTTCTTAATAGCCCTCGTTAATAATGAACGATCTTAGTATTTTTACTTCCAATGTGGTAGCTCTCTTTCACATAATTCTGGTGGCAGTTATGTTATTGATTCCAAATCCAATTACATTATGTTCTAATTACTATATACATTTCTAGCCAAACATTTGAAAATGAATGGAATGAGGCAGAGGCTGAGATTCCTTCATCCACTTTGTCTTTTAAGGTGGAGCAGGGATCTGATACTGAGTAGAAAGATGAGTTATGAACATGTAATTCTACCTGTGAGTTTATTTATCAACTTCAACTTTTACTCATCTTACACATTTTCCTTGTTACTTACATCAATCTCTGCTATTCATGAAGAATAGGAATTGCAGATGACAATTGTTAGGTGCTAGCTAACAAATCATCCAAGATAGGTCAAATGTCTCGAGTAAATAATGATACTCTTTTACAATATCAAACCTATCTTGTCCCTCTAGGTCTTGGAGGTAGTTGTGGTTTCTTCTATCAGTGCATCTTCTGATGTATGAGTTTGCATTAGATAAAATATAATACTATAACTCTTGAATCTCTCTTCTACTTCCCTAGATCCTATAACTCATTAAGGGATATGGATTCCGTATGGTAATTGCGTGACGAAGTTATTGATTTTGATGGTACAATTTCGATTAACTGTCATAGTTGTTTAAAACTGATTTATTTGTATGCGTGATTTGAGTAGTCTGATCTCAAATTTCAACGACCGAGACCACCTTGTGATTCACTTACATCAGTGAATCTGGATCCCTTATGGAGTGGGGTATGAGTAGTCAGTCACATGTAGAACTGGAACCCAATCTCTTGATTAACATACCAAATTTACAAATATATTTATTTTTTCTACTTGTTCCAAATAGTTTTGTCTGATCTACAACTGGCCCATTACCTTTGTTATTGAAACTCTCAACCATGAACTTCATAAATTCTTGTATGTTTGCTTCAATTGCCATTTTGGTGTCAAAGTTGTCAATTTCTACATTCTTGGTCTTACCTATTTAGCCCTGCTTTTTTATAAACTTCTGCAGGTTATAGTATTGAAATTTGAAGTGTGTATTCAATAACAATTATAGATTCTTATGGTCAAATGACTCAAATTTACAGTTTGACATTAAGTAAGACACTGGACTTTATAAAATATCATTGTCATGGTTACAAATAGTATAAATGCATAAAGGACAAGATGTAGATGGAAAATAATGCATTAAGGGTGTGTTGGTTTGGCGTTTGCAGCTGCAAACACAGGGTTTCTTCCTCTCCCACCGCGATTTGGAGAAGCTACAAAAGGTAGCTTTTGGTCTAACATGTTTTTTAACTGTGATTTTGCAAAGCCCACCGCCAAACCAAACACGCTATAAGTTGAGTTTTCAACCAGCTTTGCTGTGGTATTTGACTCTTCATTTTTGGAAGAAAATGAATTATCCCTGAAGTCCAAATCTTTATGACCCTTGTTTGAATATCATGTTAGGAAAGTGATTATTGAGCTATATTGACAAGATAGATTGCCATTAAGACCAAGAGAAAATGGGGGTTTTTCTAGACTAAAATAAACACCATCAAGTACCCAAAAATGATCAAAGGGTAAAGACAGGTCAAGTTTTCTGAAAATAACTGCCCATAGTTGGGTAAACCTCTACTTTGAGGATGTTATTTTGTTCCCACAGTGGTCCTGTTTTTAGTTTTTTGCTTTTATCATTTTGAGTTGGTTATGGTTCGCTATATGTATCAGATTCATGATGCCATGGTTATGATGATTTTGTAATAGTCCTAGCATGAGTTTTTTTTTTTTCCTTTTCAAAGCGACAGCTATATTCCTGCTGAATAATAATAATTCTTGGTGATATGATGAGTGTGCTTGTGAGAGTCAAATTTGGTAGTTATCTTGCCTTGCTTTCTCGTATGTATCTTTACAAGTACTAGCTAAAGTTATCTTGCCTTGCTTTTAGAATGTGAGTATAAAAGAAAGAAAAAGGAATACAACCCTAAAATCATCAATAACCTAAATACATGTCCTTCATTCCCTGTGGCCGCCGCATGCAAACCTTTTTGCCTGCCATGCACGTCTCCGATATCACGTTAGCATCGCTCTCAGTAATAGACAAATGCAGACCTTATCAGAAGGCAAATCATCTTCAAAACTCCATCTCAACAAACTTCCAATCTACTTTTCCTATACCTCATTTCACGCTCCTCAAGCATTGAGCGGTTGAATGAGTTGCTAGATAAGGAAGGGATGGAATGACATGAGATGCAAAAAACTTCACAAATCAGATTGAACAAATGAGGAAAACAAAAATTTTAAATCCCATTTAAAGGGTTAATTGAAAGACAAAAGGAAGATAACATTTAAGCTATTCTCCTAGGGTTGCAAGGAGTAGTCTTTGATTCCCAAACCATTTGTCAATCATTACAGTTAGTGGAAGGCAGTTACATCTAATATAAGTGGAAGAGCTATAGAGTAGGTTTGATAACCAATAAACATAGGCTGACACATACAAAGGTAGTCACATCCAAGAAATATAAGAACCTTGTAAGAGAAAAGTACACAATCTCAAAGGCATTTCACTCTTAGGTGGCTCATGTTAAAAGGATTTGTGTAAATGTTCGACCTAACAATTTGAATTCAAAAAATTATTTTGTTTCTACTCGAATCATGTTTAGGGTCTGTGTAAATGTTTCACGTGAAAATCAAACTCAAAAAATCATTCCCCGACATGACTCATGCTTGGGGGTCAGTGTTCATATCCGATCTATTTGGGTAAAAGACATAATGGTCGAGAAGGAGCTTGACTCACTAAAGAGCCAGTCCCATGTTGATAACTCGCCCGTCATAGTGTGGCAGAGTAAAACCGTTTGGTGGACCAGAACGGTCCTTACGGTAAAACTAATGTAAGGAAAATATTCAAACTTAAATGCATAAATATGATAATTACGACTAACTGGTTAATATTATGGTCCAAGATCTTATTTTATTCAAACTTAAATGCATAAATATGACAATTATACTAGTTTATACACCAATTTGTAATAATTCAATAATATAATATAATCTTTATTTCGTTTTTGGTCCCTCTAAATATCACAGATTTCGTTTTTAGTCCCTCTAAACATTTTCTTTAAAGAATGATCCCTTTAAAATTTCCCCTCCACACTTTTGGTCCCTCCTGCTAACATCTAACAGAGCTGACGTGACACTAACACGTGGCAGTGCAAGCTGTCAAAGATACTGACGTGACATGCCACATGGCTTCCAAGGTCTTGACTTTGGCCATGTGGCATGCCACATCAGCATCTTTGACATCTGACACTACCACATGTCAGTGCCACGTCAGTTCTGTTAACAGACGTTAGCAGGAGGGACCAAAGGTGTGGATGAAAAATTTTAGAGTCATTCTTTGAAGGAAATATTTAGAGGGACTAAAAACAAAATCTGTGATATTTAGAGGGACCAAAAACTCATTTAACCCTATTTTTAATGCATATGTTCTTCTCTAATCTCTCACCTCTTCTGCTTTTTTTCTTCATTTTCTCTAATCTTTCGTCTCTTCTGTTTTTTCTATTTTATATGTTTTTGATATTGTTTTATGCTACTATTTTACATTTTTTATTTCACTTTTTATTAATTTTATTTTTGTATATTAAATGAAAAGTTGTTGTTCAAATATGATGAATTTCGTTGTTATTTGATAACGCATAATGACTAACTACAAAGCTATATTTTCATTTATATGTATGACTCAATAAAATTGTTGTAAAAAACTGAACCAATCGAACCAACCCAAACTATATTGGTTTAGTTTAGTTTGCTTTTATTTTATTTTTAATAGTCAATCGAATCAAATCAAATCACATATTTTTTTCTTGTAATTCGAATAATTTTTTACTTTAAAATCACTCAACCTGTAACGCTACCCTAATGCTATGTATCAAAATAAAATTATATCATGATAACTATTTTAATTTTTTATATATTATTAATTACTCTTTTAAATATAAGTTTTAACTAATAATAAAGTTAAATAAATTTTTGATTTCTATAAATATATAATTTTTTATTTTTAGTCCTCTAGACTTTTTTATGTAACATTAGCCCCTCAAATGATGTGTTAGTAAATTTGGTCCTAAAGAAAATGTTAAACGCAACTTTTAATAGAAAGACTAAAATAGAAAGGTGATGTAATTATAGGGACAAAATTGTGTTTTAACACAAATGTTTGATCTCTATCAATATTAATATTTTGATTCTCATCACTTTATAAAGTATCACACACGTGTTGTAAAATAACAAATTGTTGTTTTATTTCTATTAAAAAATATGTCATAAATTTTAACACTACAAATATTTTCACTAATCAATTATTTTAAAAATATTTTCACAAGATCAATTATTTAAAAGATGATTTGATGTGAATTAATTATTTAATTAATAAGTATTTGTGAATGACACAAACACAATACACATATTTTAGATGAAAATACAAAATTATTATTGTGTACATTTTGTATTAATCTCTATAAGTGAAAGGAGCCAATATTATATATTCGGTCAAGAACTTGTTGGCATCTATGTATCTTAGTACTTTTGTGTTTATAAAAGGAATCATGGAATGAATCATTGTGTAAATAGAGGTAAGAAACAGGCAACATAATTGATATTTCATGGAATCAAAAGAACCTACCTAGTTACCTATAGCATCAACTCAAATTAGGTTGGTATTGATTCATTTCAATGCTTGTCATATTGATCTCAACCGTTAGATTAATCGTACAATCCACTTTTGAATGTTGGTCAACTAGTGTCAATGCTTTTGACAACCACTTTAACTTAGCAACTCATGCTTGTGCTCATTATGTGTTTTCTTTTTCTTTTACTAATATTAGAAATATGATTGGTTTTTAGAAGAAAATGAAAACAGAAAAACAGATGATAATTAGATGATAACTAGTGAGAAGAAAGAAATACGTATACAATAAATTTTTTCATACAATATT